CTCAAGTCCGGAAAGTGAGTACTTTTGCCATCTCTGATTACAGAGATATATTAGTGTCTTACTACACTCTGGCTAATATGCAAGGACAAGTGTTTTATAATAAATTTTAAACTTAACAGGATGGCAGTCTAATGGTTATTAGATAGGAGATATTTGGTTTCTCTCATAATGTATCAGTAACGCAGCTGCAACGTTTTCAACCTGTCAATGTTCGATATAAACTTTTTGTAGGCCAGTAAACCAGGAATTGTTATCGTCTAAATTGGAGGAAAGAAATACATATTTGATTGACGTTCTAGATCTGAGTTTTCCAATGGTTTGTTACTGAAAAAAGCCTGATCATGAGATGGATTTAACGTGCAATTAGGAAAGGATCCTTCCAAGGTTTGAACACTGAACATTAAGTCGATTACAATAAGATACAGTACAACTGCTTTACTGATGTCATAATGTCTTCTGTTTTATTGAAATTTAAAGGCACACTTCAGAATTGTGGCTTTTTTTTTTTCACCATTTTACTTTCATTCCACTGTCACAAGTACAAAGCAATGAAATGAACTCTCTGCATTTAACCCATCCCCTTGGAGAGCAGTGGGCTGCCATTGTGTGGCACCAGGGGAGCACTGTGGGGTTAAGGGTTTTTGCTAAGTGACCCAGAATGGCAGTTTGTGGGAGCGGGGCTTGATCTCAGAACCTCTGGATTCCAAGTGCAATGCCCTAATCACTAGGCCGCCGCTCCCCGGTAGACTTAAAAAGTTGATGCATATGAGTTATTTTAATGATTCTTCAGGCCAATATGCAGTGCTTGACACTATCAATGCTACAAGTTGGGCTCCGCTCTTTAAATACCACGGATGTAAGAAGGGAGAATAATAATTGAACTTTATTGATCATAAATTGGAGAAATGTACCTCTGCATTTTAAGCCATCCCTTTAGGGAGCATTGGGCTGCCATTGTGTGGCAATCTGTGGGAGCGGGGCTTGAACTCACAGCTTCAGGATTCAAACTCACAACCACTAGGCTTCCACTCCCCCTAGGACCTGGCACCATCATTGGCCAGGTCATGTGATGGAAGAACATATTGCTTTATGGCTACAGGCTCTTATATAATCATGGAGCTAAGGCTTTAGCTCTACTATTGTTTCGCCTGCTTAATTACAAGTCATGGCTGATGCTAGGAAAAAGTCTATACCTTCTGAGGATGCTAAAAAGAGAAAATGTGAAAGAGTAAGAGTAGATCTTGGAAAGGAGTTTCTCTTTTCTCAACTTTATTATTATACTGGTATCAGACTGGTCATGTATCTTTATTTATTTTTAGTAGAAGCAAAATATGGACAGAAAAAGACAGCAGGCTACAAACGAAAGATAACCGAGACACATGGTGCAGTCCGGCCTGCCCCTGCGGTGCTCTCCAGAGAGCAGCAGCATTTCTCATGCCCTCCGACTTGAAACTAGACGCCTAGTGCAGCCTGCAACTATAAAACACGGGAAGCCGGCCGGCTGATTGTTGACTTTTCGGACAGTGCTGCAGCGCTTGTGGCCACTAGGGGCGCTAGACGTGAAAGCTAAAGGCCTAGCCACCCAAGTTGCCAAAAGTTACAGTGTGCCTTTAAATAAATGGTAATTATTAGCCTAGCAGTATTGTGCGAGTTAAGAGAATATAGATTTTTTTTGTTTAAATACCTTTTTCTAAACAAAAAAAAAAACATTTTCTTTAAATGTTTTAAATCTATGGAACATATATCTGCTTGATTCTTCATTTATTAAAAAAAAATAAATGAAATGTAATGAGTTATAGCCACAGGAAACCTGTAATAGTTTGCTAGCTTTATAGCCATCCTTAACCAACCAGAAAGTTGAACTGACTTCCTCTAGTTCTCTGCTTCCACATTCTTGTTGCTTTTGTAAATAAAACATTAAAAATCACTGGTTCTCTGTGTGATTCTGCATGTGCATCAAAAAACTACAAACCAACATGACAGTTTAGCTTAGTTGGGGCGACATAACCACAGGGAAACATTGGGACGGCCTTCCTCTTACATGTACATCAATATAATACCCTATTATACCTTATTTATGCCTCAATATAACCTTTAGCTGCATGTTTTACACTTCATAATTTATCTTTTCATCTAAAGTATTTTTCATGTGATGCCACAAAAATAAAACGGTGTACTGTGCATACACAGGACATTAACATTTGTTATTTTCATTGATTTTTCCCAAGGTTGTAACATAGCTGCTCCTGCAGGAGGCCTGGCTTATTATTTTCATTTAGAGATTTATTTAGTTCTTTCTTTCACAGTCCCCTGCTGCCTGTAAGCCATTTCATGCCACAAAGATGTTTCTGTAGTGCAGCAGCAGACAGGAATGGTTTGTGTTGAATGTCGTCTCTGAGGTCCTTCCTCTGCCACCTATAAGACTGTGTCGGTAAAGAAACTGTGGGATGAATACAGAGCATATGGTGGCTCTGCAGGCGTGTGAGATAAGCAGGGATGTCATTTAAAAATTTTCACAAACTAGAAATAGGGATCAGCTGTTTGGCCTTTTTTACTCTTTTTATAAGGTCTAATATGAAGCAGATCCATTAGGGCACAAGGTATCTACAGTATAGGATGGATAGAAAGAAGGAGGTACACAGATGTCTCCATGCATACATACGTTTGTGTGCAATTGTATTAGGATGATCTTCTAAACCCTGGTTCTATGAAAATGTATGCATCTATTAATCTATCCACCTTCCCTGCAGTGACTTTCTATCTACGCTGCTGCAATTTCCCTCACTTTGAAAAGACTGAGACGGCTGGGCAAGACGCTTTTGTGCTTGCAGGCTTGAGAAGACACACAAACCGGCTGGTTTTTTTTGTTGTTTTTGTTTTTTTTCTCCCAGTCCTGGTGCCACTAAAGTTCCAGATGTTTAAAAATAGCAACTGAATGAGTAACAGAATGGAACGGAGCTGTTAATGAGTTCATGATAAAACCCGGCGATACACAGAGTAACAGGGAATGCTGAGACTGCTGGAAAAGGGAATGAAATATTTTAGATATTCATAGATCGGCAGTATTCACAGTGATGCATTATTTAATCACAGCTGGAAAAAAAGCAGCTGTTTGATCTTAGCAATGAATTATTTTAAAGACGGAAATAGATATATATGAGATCTTTATGTTTCTGCTTTAAGTGGAACCCACTAATCGACTGAAGTCTCAATATATTACCGATGTTTTTAAAATGATCAAAGCTCAAAGATAAAAAAGATACTAATAATAATATAAAATGATCAAAGCTATTAAATGATCATACTTTATGTGATTTTGTCTTTAAATTACACTGATACCCTTCAATATAGAGGCAATTTAAAATATGAATTAGAGCACATTATCTTAGACTTAACATATCTGAAGAATTTCTTCTCAATCTATAGGGATTAAATAATTAATTTGGGAGCAAATGTGATGCAAACTTTAGATATTTATGAAAATCCTGTTTCAGCTCCCCATGATAGCTGGGTGTGTCTCTCTGCCATATGGCTGCATAATATTGTATCAGTATGGATCTTTTATAGATCCTGTTATCTTTTAGCATATCTTTTCCTGCACTTCCAGTTTAATGAATTAAAAAACCCAAAGGCATTGTTTGGTTTTTCTAGCTCTCTACAGTCTGGACCTATGTAGAACTAGATCTCTGCTTGCAGAAGAGGATGGATGAAAAGAACAAACTTTGAAGTGTCATTTAAAATCTTACTTTTTTCCCCAACATTGTAATTTTAAGAAGTAAAATTAACAAAGCATATATCTTCAAATTCTAAACGAAGGTTTTGACAAACCATCTTGTAGTGCAAAATCAAGGTTTTTGTTTCTTTCTGGCAAAAGCTTTAAAACAATCAGTAAATCAGCAGCTTTCAAAATAAAATTAAGAAATATTCAAATGTAGTTACTAGGAAGCCAGTAGATACGTGTTGTAGCTGTGCATTAAACATGAGTATAAACCTGAGATATAATGACTTCTAAAATCTATTATTTTGAATTATAGAAAATATTAAATTAATATTTATACCTGTGGTCTTTTTTCCATTTCTGTTCTTTAAAAAATCCATTTAATTTATCTTTAATAAATTGATCCATATATCATTCAGCCTGATAACCATGAAATAATTTCCATAACTTCATAAAAACAAAAATGTATATTTATGCTTTAAAAAGGTACTTTGAACTCCGACTATTTAAATCAAGAAGATTTAACATACAAAATATGTTAAAACCCTCAATTTAGCCATAAAACCAAACCTTTAGCTTTCAAAAGGCGGTCAAAGGGATTTTGCAGGTGGTTGGCAATCACAAGTAAACCACTGTTGTAACTTTAAGTTAATTCTCTGATGAGAGCCTTTTGTTACTAAAAAGTAAAAAATCTGAATAACAAGTTTATTTTTGCAAAAGTGTTTTTTTTTTAAATCAATGATTTAAAGAATAAATTATGAGCCCAAACACCAGAAATTATTTTGCATTCAACTTGAATCCATTGCTCCAGATACATGCTTTGAATGAATTTTAATGAACACATCTATTGGGAGCCAATTGGTGCTTCAAGGTTTACTGACTGATCATTTTTTGTTTTTATTTTACAATGAAAACTGCACGAAATGTTAATTTTATACCACACACTATTTGTGCTTCTATTCCCCTGCAGTAAATGTTATATTTTTCTCCATTTTGGACAACTTTGGTCTTTTAATCACTGTGACTCACTATTCTGTGATTCTGATGCAGTCTGAAAAGCTGCTGGGTCCTGTAGAGCTTTTCATATGTTCTGAGGTGAAAATCAGCTCTAAGTTATGAGTCACAGGATCACAATGGGGCCCATCTCCTTTTGTTTTCAGTTTGCTTGCAGATATATGTGGGTGAATATATGCCGACAGTCTGTGTTTGTGCGTGGTACCTTGCATTGAATAATTAAGGCTGTGAGGCGGGTGGAGCTGTCCGTGCTCTCTGGCTTCTCGGCTGAGTGTCTGGCTCCAGCCTCGCTGTTATCATCCTCCTCGTCTGATCGGAGGCTCCTCTCGCTCTCCTCCAGAGACTCCCTCTCCTCGGTGGAATCCTCCGCTGTGCTCTCGCTCCTCTCCTCAGCATCAGTAGGTCCATCCTTGGTGTCAGCCAATGGAGAGCGAACCCTGTTGGTGGGGTCCCGGGCCTCCCCTCTTAGCCGGGTGATGTTTCCCTCCAGCAGGCGCCGCTGGACGATGCTGTGAGGTTGCTAGAAAAGAGGAAACGTAATGGATTTTAGATGGAGATGTAGATATAAGATTTAAACTACAGAAAGACAGAATCATATTATTTCTAAACCTTAACAGTGAAATATTTCTAAAGCATCTCATATTTGCATGCTGCCGTGGCATACTGCAGATTGATGGGACTTAGACCCATTAGGTTGCAAAACTTGAGATTGGAGAGGAGATTTACCTTCTATGTGGACAACAACCTTAAACATAGAACCAGTAAGAAAACTGAATGTAGGGCTGAAGCATTTAATCGGATTAATCGTGATTAATCAATTATTGAAGTAACTGTCAGCTAACTCAGTAATTGAATAATCGTTAACTGGAGTATAGAGACTGTAAAACATGCCTGTAGCTGACAATTACTGTATAATTACTCAGAGCAGTAATTATATCAAAATTGTAAAAAATTATATAAACATTTTCCATTTAAGATGAAAAAAAAATGTCTGTCAATATGTTCTATCAAGAACTCCTTAAGTGGAAGAGTGTTAGATTCACTTGGCTTAATTTTATAAAAAGTCTTCTTTAAGGAATCTTTTATCTGATTATTAATCGATTAATCTGAAAAATAAAAGGCAGATTAATTGATTTACAAAAGTAGCAGTCCAACCGGAATGGTTGAAGTGTAAAGCTATTCTTAGATACAAATGGTCTAGTCAAAGTCCAGACCTAGATCTGTGCATGAATCTAAACTGGAATTTAAAAACTTTTTTGTTTTTACAGACTCTCTTCATCCAGTTTATCTCACTTGAGCTGATCCTCTAAAGAAAAAAGCAATACCCCATATTTTACAGCTATAGCTGTGATACTGTAGATCAGGTGTTGGCTTCCCTTACCTCACTGTTCCCTTTTTGTGGTCGTCTGAAACCTTATATGTGAATTGAGGCATTAAAGATGCAGTATGTATTGTGAACTATGGAAGGAGCTGTTCAATTTCTTTTTTATTGCCCTTTGAGTTGAGTGAAATGCTTCATTAAGAGTCCATGTTGACTGAAATTAGATTATCTTCCAGTGGAGTTTAGAAGGTTTAATCATAATCCAAGTATTGACATTACAACTCTAGTCAAATATGACTCCTCCAGAGTAATTCAACTGATCCAGAGCTGAGACACGCTAAATTAGATTTCTGTTCACCTGAGTCTCCGTAGTGCAGCTCTTCTGTATTGGATGGAGGGTCCCTGTAGTATGATGCATTTTACAAAATCTTATTTTTTTTAGGTCATTTTGAGCTTTACATTACAGGATGTAATCTGGGTTTCAAGAAGTTCTAAAATGATTTAAATCTGACCTCAAGTCTACAGAGACACACAGACTACACAGTCAGTCTTTATTAGGAGAAAGAGACCAAATGAAAAAGCTTTTTTATGAGAAATCACATCTTATGGCAAACATTAAAGACTTTAACAGTTTTTTTCTGACAATGTTGCCAAATAATTCAACATAAACATGAAATTATTTGAAAAAACTAAGTACATCTCATGATAAGAGTCCAGAGAACCATTTTTCAGCAGCAAAAAGTGCCAATAATAATTTTTTTCCACATTTATATGTAGGAACCCTTCTTTCCAGCGACGCTTCAGTTCATTGGGATTTACAGACATTCATGTTCCCAGCCCTCAAGGTTCCACAGTAGCATTTCACTCTAGTTAATATCTGGACTTTCCCTGAGGCAGCTAAGCCCCTTCATTCTCTGCTGCTATAAATTTGCTGCTATGTTTGGGATCATCGTCCTTTTCTCTACCTAGCTTCAGCTTTTTGACATTTAGGAGCTCTTTCTTTTATCAAGCTAAAGATAATTTTCTAAAATCTGAGTTTTGCTTTTGTTCACATTTTTTATTTACATAAGACAAATGATTGATTTACTGATTTTATTGATCTGTGGAGAATTTTACTCCACTATTAATTATCTTGTTAACAAGATCACAAAGAATGCGTTGTGGTTAAGACTTTACCAAAAGATCATACATGAAAAAATCATGTGTCTGTGTGAAGAAACATGTTATATGTAAAATTTGAAGCTAAAACACCTCATAGATTGTCATTTTATATTCATATACACTCTATTTTGATCACAAAGGATGAGTAGTGGTTATGACTTTATAAAAAGATCATATGTGAAAAAGCTAAACTTATCCACAGAAGTAGGTCTGAATGTATACTGTAAGCACATTACTGCTAAAATATCTGACTTTTTTTATTTAAACAACCCTTGCACTATTTGTGTGATAGTTGCATTTACTGTAAAGCACTCATTATCACCTTCTGTATGCTTTTAATCTCCTGATGTGTGAAGACACATTTACTTTCACATTACAACTGGAGTATTTTTGTGTTGAGCTAAAATTATAACCTGGTTTCCAAATGGCCAAACAAAAATGTCGCCCAAAGCTCTCTGTTCAGCCGCTATGCATTAATTGAAAATTGGATTTAAGCAGCCTGTTGCTCTATAATCTCATTTTTTTTCCCCAGCAGTGCAGGCCTGCAATTTCTAACAGAGTCGCTGCATAAAACTGAAAGCTTTTTGCTTTATTGTTGTTGTTTTTCAATTCAACAAACAAATCACAATGAAGAAAAAGTAAGAGGGTAAGAGTAAAAGTAAGATTTTCAGAAGCCTGAACTTTCTAATATTAATATTTAAATAGTTTACGTTGGAAGTAAAAGCGTCCCTGCTGTTGGACCCTTGATGTGCTCTGTAAAAACACATTTGCTTAAACATTTATCCTGTTGAAATATTGCAAAATATAACACTGCTACCAATATCTTCCTGTTGGTGTTAGCTGTGCTGCAATAACAACGCTAAATAAACTCTAACAATATAAGACAGTGGAGTTTGCTGGTTCAGTCATTATTCTCACTAATCTTTCTATAAATTTCCTAAAATCAGCAGAAACGCAGGCTCCTTCCCAAATTCCTGTTGTTTCCTGCTCTTGTTAAAGGGAGGTTTTGTGTCATCTCTGCTTTTAAAACGTTGAGGTGTTTCCACTGTTTAAATTATTCAAATAAAATACTAGAAAAGCTCAGTGTTAGAGCAGCTGCAGTTGCTCAACCTCTAGCAAAGATATGCAAATATACTCAGTTGCTTTATTATCACAATATAAGTTTGTATTCAGAAACTTAAAATTTCTTTGTAAAAGGCTACAAGTATTTTATAAATAATAAGATGGTACATTGTTTTCTTTATATTGAATTAGTGTTGCACCGATACGGATACCACTAAAATGGTATTGGTGAGTACCAACAAATAGTACACCGATACCATTTTAAGAGCCAA